TAGTCTCTCAGGCAGTGGAATGAAGAGTGGCTGGATGCGATGCTAACCACTCCCTTGTGGACAACTGCCTTAACCACACCAATTCTATGGGCTGCCAGGCTTAGAGCACCCTATGACCTTGTTTGAATTCTGGAGCAAGTTCAACTCCACTGTAGTTTAGAATGGTGCTACAGGATAGGAAGTGGCCTATCCTAGTGCAGCTAGCTATGGCCCCAAGGAGTGATCTGCCAGCGAGGAAGTGCAATGTATCTTCACCAAGGGATGTAGTATATTCTGAGTAGGAGGTACAGGATAGGAAGAGACCATACCAACTCTATGTAAGCTGAAAAGAGGCTGCTTTGGGGGTCATTTCATTGCAAACACAGCAAGGTTTCTTGACTGCTCTTTATTCTTCTGCTTCCCAATGTCTGGGGCTAAAAACTATACAGAGACCAACAAGCCCAATAGCTGAGGACAGCATGGTTCAGGCAGGCAGGCAACTTCTCTAGCCACACCACAGTAATTAATAACTTACTTCTTTCCTCTGCTGACAGCTGTGGGAAGCACAACAGAGTCTTGGCAGTCATGGAAAGCAGCAGGCCTAGTTGAACAATCCCATGCAAACAACTTCCCAATGCCCTTCCCAACTCATGGCACAAGACTCATTGATTCAGGTGTCTTTTCTCTTGACATTTGGTGCCATTTGCAACTGAAGGAAACCATGCTAGGATGTTTTCTGCCTAGTCTATAACACAGTATGCAAAGGGCAGCTGAGGCATACACTAGGTGGGAAAACTCTGTCCTTGATTATTCATATGAATAGCCAGATCAATGTTAAGTTGGTTAGGAATTTCCTCTCCAAATGTTAATTCTTTGGAAAATGTGGTTTTCTACAAAACTGAAAAGTTCCATAGGAAATGGTTATCCCTTCTCCCCCTGCTATTTTTTGTCAGGAAAATCTAAATTAATATTTTGTTTGGTGTCTCTTCAACATTATTCTCAGTCTATGGTGCCTCCAAGGAACTGGGGCTGCTTTTAATCAGTTTTGTGGTAAAGACAATGCACTCACTCATCACAGGAATAAAGCTATGAAGATGCTTAAGCATCTGCAGGATCAGGGGTTTTGTTAACACATTTCATGGAAAAGCCCCGAGCTCAGAATGGTTCTGGCCAGCACTGTCTGTCTGTGGGATGGACTGGTTCCAAGGCAGATAGGCCTGCAACCCTCGTTTGCTTATTCCTGCAGGAATGCCTTTTGGCAGTATATTTCCTCAGTTCTCCAGAGCAAAGATTTATCTGTGGATCTGAATGGGTTAGCCACATAAAACCCTCAGAGCTGAAGAACAAGTAAACAGCACTGAATAATGTGTGCAGCAAAGGATTGTGCAAAACCCAGATGGTGTAAATCAGCAAAGCTCCACTGTAAGCTTTGCACACCAGCTGAGATGCTGGCCCAGAGAGCAGGCAATATAAATTCAATAATCAGAGAGTTTGGGGAAAAATGGATGGGAGTGATTTCTTTTACAAATACATTTCTGCCTCACAGCACAAACATTACCCTCCCTGAATTACTTACTGTCTTTTGCTCTTCCCAACAGCAGCATTCTGGCCATCTCAAAGAAGTTTTTGATTTCTTTCTCATATAGTCTACAGAGACTCCGTGCGTAGACCTGGAAGGGCAGAGAAGGAATTGGAGTGCCAGTGAGTATTTCTCTATCTCTGCACCACTTCCCCATCTCAGTCACTCCCAAAAGTCTCTCCTCTGTCTCTCCCTCCCAATGCAGGTTCTAATGCAAAGCTGATTGAAGTCAATGAAAAAACTCCTGTTGCCCTCAATGGGCTCTGGAACTGATGGAAAAAGGTTGAGGAAGGGAAGAAACCAAATCATCGGATTTTGAGACCATTCCTAACTGTCCTCAGGGAGCAGGGAGGCTGGACAGCCAAGGCTTTGGCTGCTACATCATGCTTCAGTAAACATACTCTTCCTCAAGACAAAAGCAGAAAGGACTGGATGTGAGCTCTTCCTTCCTACCCCACATTGTCCACAAAATGAAAACACATCTTTCCTTGCTGAGAGTCTGCTCCTGTTTTATGCAAGGAGGGCAGGCCCACTAGCAAAGACAGCATCTGTCAAATGAGGAATACTTTCCTCCAAGCTGAATGCTCAGCTCTGTTAAGGTAAGTTCAAAGTCTTTGATGGGAGACTTTCAAAGGAAACAGGGTATTCAGGGAACAGTGTCAATAATTAAACGCAATACCTTTGTCATATTACCAGCTTGGTACAGGGGGGTGCTGTCTTTCAGATGAGAAGTAAAAAGCTAAGGTGCTGGCACCTTCTGGACACTGAGACCCACAATTTTCTTTTATTATTGCAAGTACAAAGCCTCAATGGACATTCTTTTATCCCAATGAGATGCTTAAAACACAGGACTGGGACTCAGATCTGTTTTCAGTCCCTGGCTCTAACTTTTATATTCCCTGTTAGACTTTGGGTTAATCACTTAATTTCTCAATTCCTTAGTTTGCCCCATGTAAAAAGGGGATGTGCCAACACTTCCTTTGTCTTTCTGTTTTACTAAGGGCAAATTCTTCTAGGCAGAGACTTTCTATAAGTGTTCAAATAGCCGAGCATAAGGGAAACCTGTGACAGTTAGTAGCATCCCCATTAAGAAAAGCTACGAGCTGTAACCCTACCCCCTACACACACTCCCAAATACTAAAATACAAGAGTACAAGTAATTGTTTCTTTGTTGCTTCTTTTCCATTTCATCTTCATATGGCCATTTCTATACTGAAAGACCAGAACTTAGATTTCATACCTATTTAACAACTTGTTAAACACCACTAAAATTTCTGAGCTCTAGTCAAATGTATCTCTATTAAGTGTGAAAGAAGCAATAACAATTACTAGTCACTATCATTAGGTTAAATCATCTTGGGGAAGTCTCAATACAACTATAAATAATATATCACTTAAGTGGAATGTAATGTAAAGCTATTTACGGGTGAGCCAACATGGTTGATGTTGCACTATTTCAAATCCCAGACAGTACCTTTGGTAGATCACTGAACAACATGAGGTTAGTATTCTTCAGCCAGGTCATGAGTGGGACATAAGGTAACAGTTCATCATGGTAAGGCTTATGTGTGGGTGAAATTAGCTTGTTGGTCTGCTGCATTACAGGTGGAACTTGTACATTTCCCTGAAACAACAGTCACAGGAAAAAAGTCAAATAAACTTATTCACAGATAGCCCATTGCAAATGAATCTCTTCAAAACTGCTGGGAAATCTGTTTTGAAGAAGCATAAGAAGCAAACAGAAAGAACAATGATGAAAACACCCTGGCTTGGGACAGACATTATACATAAATTGGCTTAATTGATCAGAAACTGATTTAAACCTGTAACAGAATAGACATTCAGTGCACATAAACCAGTCTGAAAATGGCTGAAACTGGTTTGAGATAAACCTGGTAGTATCAGACTTAACTGATTTGGGTCAAACTGGTTTATGCAATGTCTGTCCCAGACCCCATCCTGGTTTAAGTTAAATCAAAGTCCCCCAGCATCCTGGCATGGTCTTTGGGTTGGCCTGAGGTTTCTGTTCCTCACTGGAGCTCCAGCAGAAACTGCAAGCACAGCAGCATCTGCCTGGCTACCACTGCCCCATTCGCACACTCTCTGTAGGGATCCCTCCTTCCTCTCTCCTACATCATGGACCAGCACATGGTATGCTAGCTAATGCTGTGAGGTGTCTGTGTAAGGCAGACAGGACAAAGGCAGACAAGACAGTGCCCACTTAGGGCTTTTTGGAGCTAATCAACAGGTAGCTGATAATGTCTATTCTTGGAGTGTTCCCTTCCTTGGAAAAAGTTGTTTAAGAAGAGCTTGAACTGATGAGAGAGGCTTTGTTTTCTCATGGGATGCTAAATACTGATAACAGCTGATAAATGCTTTGTTATCAAGGAGCGGGGCGGGGGGGGGGAAGAAGGGGAGGGAGAGGCTCCCTAATCAGAGCGTCCTGCTGGGGCCTGGCCACGCCCCACCACAGCTCAGTACTATGGAAATGAAGAGAGAGCTGCTCTGGTGCCTCCCCACCCCTCCAGCTTCTAGCTTGAGGCACTGCAGGCATGTGCCTGCATTTTCTCAGTCCAGAGGGGATGTCTTCACAGTTACAAACTGATTCAGCCTAGGAAGGTTAGACTAACCTGGAAAGGTTGAAGCAATTCAGGCTCAGGCTTTTTGAACATCTGCCCCTAGCCCATCATATAGAACTCCACATTGCATCCAAATGTGGGAATGGAGCCAACCTCATGCCATAAGCTGAGACATCAGCAATATGTGGGGAATCACCCACATATTGGCCAATCACCAGTGGGAAACAAAACTGACAGGCCATATGAAGATGCAGGATCACTGAGGGGGAGTCAGGAAAGTTGATTAATATTACATTTAAATTCAGCCTAAACTTAAAAGGGCCTAGATCAGGGGCAGGCAAAGTCTGGCCCATGGACCAGACTGGACCTGCAGCTGACTCCATTTCCCAGCAGCTCCTGACCGTGTTGCTGCAACTGATTTCCATGAAGACCCCAGGAGTGGCAGGGCCATGACAGTGTAGGGCCAGGGTTTCAATGGAGGCTGGCCCCAGCAGTACTGGCAGGGCATGTGACTGGGCAGGGAGCTGCTTCAGATCCAGGGCTGGGATCTTGCAGCAGTGACAACATGGTTTGGAGCTGGGGCAGAGCTGTGATCCACTGCTCTCTTGCCCTGCCAGTTCTGCTGGGTCTGGTGTCTATGGAAGCCCTGGCCCTGCACTGTCATGGCCCCACCATTTCTGGGATCTCCATGGAAACCAGCTGCAAAGAGGGGGGCCAGGGCTGCTGGTAAATGGAGCCTGGCTGCTGGCCAGATCCACCATTTTGTCCACCCCTGACCTAGATCCATGGTGCTCAACCTCTAAAGCTCCACAGGTCAGAGGAGTGGCACAGAGCTGGTCCATGAACTGGATCCCACATACTAGGGGCCAGTCCGCAGGGGAGTGGTGCATAGGGTTGGCCTGTGGATGTGAGCCGGCACAAATCCATGTACCAGATCTCGGTACATGGGAACCTTGTACACTAACCCAACCCTGCACACCAGATCTGACTATGGAGCATGCATGATCTGACTCATGGGACCGTGTCAACCAGACCTTGGGGCTCCCTAAGGGTCCGGAAATTTGACATTGGAGAAGTGGGTGGAAAATGAATTGCCGCTGCTCTGGAAGGAATGAATGATGCTACTGCTTCCCTGCTGCCATTTTTTCAGACCCCTGGGGAGCTATGTGGAGCACCACTGGCCCAAATCATGTAAATGGATGTCTGCAGATGCACTCAACCATTCCATTCTAACTGCAAGACTGTGGCTCAGGGTAGCTACCACAAAGGTGCTTCTCCGCTCTGTTAAGGTGATATATTGGGAGGAGGAGATCCCGAAGGATTACTGTTGGGCCTCACCATTTCCAAAAAAGAAATGAATGGAAGAAAATGGGGTTTTGGTGTAACCCAGGTGGCGACCCTATAGTTGCCACCTCTGCCCAATATCAGGGATGGTATGGTGACAGTGGGGCAGGGCTTCCGGCCAGCACCAATTTACTTTCCA